TACTCAACATCTATACTTGGATATCTAATAAACTCTACTTGTCTAAAACCAAGGCTCTCCTCCACCCATACTGGATTACTTTTGACTGCCTATAACAAAATACACATGTGAGAAAACATATATTAAAAAGAACAAAAAGTCCACGGATAGGGAGGTAGACTGTCCAGAACAGGTATGGCATACTCATTAGGCACCCAAGCCCCTTATGTCTTGATGCTTTTCCAACTTTAGTATGCTTCCTCTTTATGTTAGCAGGAGGGAGAAATGTAATGGGAAAATTTTTTTTTTAATTACAAGGTTTTATTTAAATTCAAGTTAGTTAACATATAGTATAATATTGGTTTCAGGAATAGAATTTAATGATGATTCATTATTTACATATAATACTCAGTACTCACCAGCAGTGCCCTCCTTAATGCCCATCAGCCATTTAGGAGACCCCCATCCACCACCACCACCCACCCCGCAGCAACCCTCAGTTTGTTCCCTATAATTGAAAGTCAGTTATGGTTTGCCTCTTTCTTTATTTTTATCTTTATTTTTCCTTCCCTTGCCCTATATTTATCATTTGTGTTTCTTAAATTCCACATAGAAGTGAAATCCTTGGTGTTTGTCTTTCTCTGATGGTTTTATTTTGCTTAGCATAATAATCTAGTTCCATCCACGTTGTTGCAAATGGCAAGATTTCATTCTTTTTGATGGCTGAGTAATATTCTAGTGTGTGTGTGTGTGTGTGTGTCTGTGTATTACGTCTTCTTTATCCTTTCATCTGTCGATGGACACCTTTGTCTTTCCATAGTTCAGTTATTATTGATAATGCTGCTGTAAACATCAGGGTGCATGTGTCCCTTTGAATCTGTATTTTTTTTAATCCTTTGGTTAAATACCTAGTAGGGCAACTGTTGGGTCATAGGGTAGTTCTATTTTTAACTCTTCGAGAAACCTCCATACTGTTTTCCAGAGTGACTATACCAGTTTGCATTCCCACCAACAGTGCATGAAGTTTCCCCTTTCTCTGCATCCTTACCAACACCTGTTGTTTCCTGAGTTGTCAATTTTAACCATTCTGACAGGTGTGAGGTGGTATAAGAAACTTCCTAGAGATTCTCAACACATCTGCTTATATCTCATTGTCCAGAACTTAGATTATGGCCAAATCTAGTTGCAGGGGAAGTTGGGAAGTATAGGAGTTTTTAGATGGGTGGTAATATATTCAACTAAAATTGGGATTATTTTACTTTTAAAAAATGGAGGAAATGGACAGTGGGAGGCAAGTGGCCACCTCCACTCAACTCCATGAATCTTGTCCTCTGACCTCCAACTAACCTCCATTTTTTAAAAAACTTTAAATTGAATTTAATTAATGTGTAGTGTATTATTAGTTTCAGAGGTAGAATTTAGTGATTTATCAGTTGCATATAACACCTGGTACTCATCACTGCCATATAATACCATATAATGCCCTCCTTAATGCCCATCACCCAGTTACCCCATTCCGCCTTCCACCACTCCTCCAACCACCCTCAGTTTGTTCCCTATGGTCAATAGTCTTTTTTCGTTTGCCTGCTATTGTCTTACTTTATTTTTATTTATTTTACTATTATTATATGTAAATAAAGAATCATTAAATTCTGTTTCTTCCCTTCCCCAGTGTTCATCAGTTTTGTCTCTTAAATTCTACACAGGAATGAAATCATATGGAATTTGTCCTCTGACTGACTTATTTTGCTTGGCATAATGGCCTCTAGTTCCATTTACATTGTTGCAAATGGCAAGATTTCACTTTTTGATGGCAGAGAAATATTCCATTGTGTGTATGTGTGTATACACACACATCACCTCTTTATCCATTCATCTGTTGATGGACATATGGGCTTCTTCCTTAGTTTGGCTATTGTGGGCATTGCTGCTATAAAAATGGAGTGAATGTGCCCCTTCAAATCACTATGTTTGTATCCTTTGGATAAATTCATAGTAGTGAAATTGCTGAGTCATAGTGTAGTTCTATTTTTAACTTTCTAAGGAACCTCCATATTGTTTTCCAGAATGGCTACATCAGCTTGCATTCCCACCAACAGTGTAAGAGGGTTCCCTTTCTCTGCATCCTTGCCACCACCTGTTGTTTCCTGAGTCGTTAATTTTAGCCATTCTGACCCATATGAGATGGTATCTTATTGTGGTTTTTATTTGTATTTCCCTGATAATGAGTGATATTGACCATCTTTTCATGTGTCTGTTTGCCATTTGTTTGTCTTCTTTGGAGAAATGTCTGACCATGTCTTCTGCCCATTTCTTGACTGGATTGTTTTTTGGGTATTGAGTTTGATAAGTTCTTTATAGTCCTTTATCATTTGCAAAGATATTTTCCCATTCCAGTGGTTATCATTTTATTTTTTCAAGTGTTTCCTTTGCCATGCCAAAGTTTTTTATCTTGGTGAAGTCCCAAAAGCTCATTTTTGCCTTTGTTTCCCTTGCCTTTAGAGGCCTGTCTAGCAAGAAGTTGCTGTGGCCAAGGTCAAAGAGGTTATTGCCTGTGTTCTCCTCAAGGATTTTGATGGATTCTTGTCTCACATTTAGGCACTCTACCCAGTTTATTTTTGTGTGTAGTATAAGGAAATGGTCCGGTTTCATTTTTCTGCATGTGGCTGTCCAATTTTCCAAACACCATTTGTTGAAGAAACAGTTTTTCCATTGGATGTTCTTTCCTGCTTTGCCAAATTAGTTGACCATAGAGTTGGGGGTTCATTTCTGGGTTCTCTGTTCTGTTCCCTTATCCATGTGTCTGTTTTTGTGTCAGTACCATACTGTCTTGATGATTACAGCTTTATAATACAGCTTGAAGTCTGGAATTGTGATGCCTCCAGCTTTGGTTTTCTTTTTCAACATTACTTTGGTTACTTAGGGGGTCTATTCTGGTTCCATACAAATTTTAGGATTGTTCCAGCTCTGTGAAAAATGTTGATGATATTTTGATAGGGATTGCATCAAATGTGTCGATTGCTTTGGGTACCTTGGACATTTTAACAGCATTTGTTCTTCCAATCCATGAGCATGGACTCTTTTTCCACATCATTGTGTCTTCCTTAATTTCTTTCATAGTTCTATAGTTTTCAGTTTCCTTTACCTCTTTGGTTAGGTTTATTCCTACATATCTTATGGTTTTTGGTGCAATTGTAAATTGATTTCTCTTGATTTCTCTTTTTTTCTGTCTCATTGCTAATATATAGAAATGCAACGGACTTCTGTGCATTGATTTTATATCCTGTGACTTGGGCTGAATTCCTGTATCATTTCCAGCAATTTTGGGGTAACCTTTCCTATTTCAATAAATGTCAGGTCCATCCTTCCAGGCACTCAGGCCAAAATATCTTGGAGTCTCCCATGATTCTTTTTCTCTCCTACTCTACATCCAATCTTACCAGCAAATGTTATTGATTATACTTTCCAAATATATACCAATATATTTGACTGACTCCATCTTCATGCAGGCTGTTATTGCCTTTCATGGACTTCTGAAATAGTCTCAAGTGGTCTTTCTGGACCTGCCATTCCTGTATGCAGAACTCTCTGATTACCTTCCAGCTTACTCTGAGTAAAATCTGAGGAACGTACTAATAAAAAGCTATATGTTATTTGGTCCTGGCTAACCCTTTGATTAAATTGACTATTCTCTTCCCCTCACTCATTCCATAAATATACCAAGCATGGACCAATTTCAGGGTCTTTGTTATCTATTGCTTTTTCTATCTTGAATCCTCTTCTCCACGATATCCCCATGGCTTGCTTCCTAATTTCCTTCATATCTTTGATCAAATACCAGACTATCAAAGAGACCTTCCGTACCAGCCTATCTAAAATAGGATTCCTTGTAGTAATCCCTCCCTTTATACAACTTGCTTCTTAATACCCAACACCCATTGGACATACCTGATTTTCTGTGTGTGTGTATAGATTCGTAAACATACATAGTCTCTCCTCCTCTATACATATATAAATATATAAAAATGTATAAACATTTAGGTATATATAGGAATTTGATTATTGAAGGGCTTCTCACTAGAATTAGAGTAGGGACTTCACCCTTATCTAATAAGAAGGACAGCAGTGAGCAAAAGAGATGATCGAGACAGATTTCTCTAAGAGGGTATTTGAGCTAAAAATGAATGAAGATGAGCCAGCTATACTATAGCCGAGAAGGAAAGCCCTCCAGGCACAGGGAACAGCTGACAGCAAGGCCCTACAGTGGAAATAAGCTTGTCATGCTAGGGGATTTTTATTAAATTTGAGGACAAAAAGAAGCCCAGTATGGGTAGAATTTAGAAATTATGTAGAGTGCAATAAGGTAAGGTGGGAGAGACCAGCAGAGCCAGATCATACAGTTTTGCCTTTCCCAGATGCAGTAGAAAAATAGTCGCAAGCTCCTCTGGCACCTCAGCCATTCTCCCCACTGTGGGAAGCTTTGAGGCCAAAACAGCCAAAGGCTATCTAGTGACATGCAGCTATTTACATTTAATTCACTAAAAGTAAATTTAAAAATTCAGTTTCTCAATCACATGAGTTCCATTCCAAGTGTGTAATAGTCACACGTGGCTAATGACTACCTGTTGGGCAGCAGAGCACAGACAGAAAACAGTCCATCATCACAGAAGTTATGTAAAACAGTGCTGCTCTAGGAAATTCAGTCCAATGAGGAATAATGCCAAGTTTGCTTAGCCTCTCCTCTGTGATTTTCTCTTAACCCTAGAACCTGTTTTTCTATTTAAATGGGAATATATGTGATGCCTAGAAAATTAGCATGGGGCCTGTTTCCTATGCAAATATTCTCACTGGTGATTTTTACCTATGACAGAAAAGATGAGAAGGACTGGTAAATCACAAGCATTCTTAACCTCATTATAAATACACTGCAAATGTAAAAATGCAAAGTGTGGAAGTCATAAATGTGAAAGCAGCTTTCAATTTGTTTTAATAGGTATTTTCTATGTCTTATTGTAACCTAGGGATCTTGCTGCAAGAAACTGCCTGGTAGGTGAAAATAACATTCTGAAAATCAGTGACTTTGGAATGTCTCGTCAAGAGGATGGGGGAGTGTATTCATCTTCTGGCTTAAAGCAGATTCCCATTAAATGGACAGCACCAGAAGCTCTTAATTATGGTAAGATGACTGACTGTTTTGCTTTTTTGGTGGTAAGAATGTACTCCATCAGCACAAAACATACACAAGCAAAATTACAGGAGTAAAGCAGAACCCAAGTTAGAATGATTTGAAAATCGACACAATAATGTGTAAGCATTCATATTTTATACTTAAATATGAGCAGAAACTTAATTCATTAACCTTATTCGGCTGATTTCTATATGTTAAGATTGCTAGGTTTAAAAGATGGATATACTTACAAGCACTTTGCAGAGAGTTTTTTCTAATCCAAAAAAAAAAAAAAAGATTATTTTTAAAGTGTGTCTTTAAACTGTGTCTCTGGACCATTGCTTTTGAATGTCTTACAAATAGTACAATAAACTCATGTAATAGGTTTTGAAAATATTGTCAAGTGTATCGTTTCTCACTCTATGGTTTCACTTTAAAAGTTAACATGGTTTCTTAGCATTTCGGTCTCTGGAACTTGAATAAGTCTTGTGGAGAGAGATGGAAGTTACATTTTTAAAACGGCAGGAATTTTTGTATGTGTGTCATTGTAATTGGAAATAAATACAGGTTGCGTTATCTGTGGTTGGGATAAAATGGTCTATAACAAGATGGGTAATAACTCAGAATTGAGAGAGATTGTGCTTTAAATGAAGTTATAAATTACATTTTCATTAAGAGAAGCAGCATATGAGCCATAAGTTGGTGAATGGGTATAGTATGTTTTAAATGGAAATATCATAAAATGATTCTTTACTGATTTAAAATGAAAAATTACTTCATCATGAAAAATGGGGCATTTATAAATGCTTTAACTTAATGCCTAAATTAAAGACAAAGCTTTTAAGTGAGGTACAATTCATATAACTTGAAATTAGCCATTTTGAAGTGAGTAATTCACTGGTATTTAGTAAAGTTCACAGTATTGTATAACCATTTCGTTCTAGTTTGAACATTTTCATCACACCAAAATAATAACCTTTACCCATTTACTCCCCATTTCTTCTTTCCCCCAGCCACTGGCAACCACATGTCTCCATTCTGTTGCTATGGATTTACCTATACTGAATATTTGTTCATATAAATGGAATATACTATATATACTATACATTTCTTAAATGTTTTTGAGGTTCATCCATGTTGTAGCATGTATAATTAACTTAATTCCTTTTTACAGCTGAATAATATCTCATTGTACATATTTTCAATTTGTTTATCTGTTTATTCAGTGATGCATTTTTGGGCAGTTTTCACCTTTCAGCTACTGTGAATAGTGCTGTGAACATTTCTGTACAAGGATTTGTTTGAGTACCTGTTTTTATTTATTCTAGGTATACATTAGGATATGGTAATTCTGTATTTACCTTTTCGGGGAACAGCCAGGTGTTTTCCAGATAAAGCTTCGGAATGTGATTGGTTTGGAAATTAGTTGGGGGTTGATTCAGACACCAGGATCTGTTCTGTATTTTGTATACTAACGATACTATGGAGTACATGTTGTATGTAGTTGTCATTATGAGAAATTGACTAATTTGTTCTAGTACCCAATGATGAAGTTTTTGAGCTTAACACTCCATAGATAACTAATCCACACCCTAATTTGTCTTCCCATGTGCTGCCAAGAGAAGTTTTTATAAGCTTTCTAATGATAGCAGACTAATTCCACTATTCCTCAGCATCTAGAGAAAATGGCAGCCCTGCTATTTTTGACAGTGATAGGACTTTAAGATTATATTCAGTGATGAACAATCACAGGACAAAAGACTGTAACCTGTTATTTATGCAGAGGTTTTCTTTAAATGACAAAACGTTGTTAACCCCTTCTTGTACCTTCCTTTAGTATTCCTATATGGGGGATGGAACTAGACTTGGGAGACCTGAAATCTAGCTAGGATTTGTTTTAACCCTATTAACCAGATCCTCTTTGTTGCCTTTGAAAGTCCACTTACTATTCTGCCGAGTGAAATTCTGCCTTTCAACCAAAATGTATTATAGGTGAATTTCAAGCTGCAGTATTTACAAATCAAAATTCTATTTCCAGATATCTCTTAGAGCCAGACCTACAGCATTTTAAGTAATAAAGAGAGATATGAAGGTCTTTGGTTGGCAATGAGGGACATTTTTTCTTTTAGCAGTCTTTACTATTAATACAGTGCAGAGCAATTTACATGACAAAGGGGGAGAGATTTTAACAGTAGATGAGGAAGAAGTCTGGAATACTTATTACCCAATCCAATGAAGGAATTCCTCAGAGGTTAACAAGAGTGGTAAATATATCTATTGAAAGACCTATTTCTTGTTACACTTCTTTCATATTTTATGCAAATATTATTTTATGATGGGTGGCAAGATTCTGCCTTATTTCTAAGGGTCTTTTCTTCCCCACTGATGCTTCCCTTCACTATTGCCTGAGAGTAGCCCAAGTCTCCCATGATATGTGAGAGCAAAGTTGACAGAAAGATCCTTCCATCTAAGGAAGCTCTCAGAAATTTTGCCTTAGGGCCATAGAGTTAAACTTATTTTCACCATTATTTTGTCATTAGTGTTGCTGTCATTTAATTTTCTAAAAAATGACACTTTTTTTTTTCAATCAAGCAATAATAAAGAGCCTACAATGGCATGTAAGCCTTTCTCCTACCTATCTCTAGCCACACGACACATCATTGCATATAAATTTCCTCCCCTACTCTTTGAACACAAAATGGCAGCATACTTAATAATTTTTTCAGCATATATTGCTACCATGCTCAATATGGCTGTTGCCAAAGGAATGTGCTTATAAAGAGCAAATAGGATATTCATCTTCAACTAAGAAATAATCTTAAAAAGACATTTTTTCATTTGTTACCTAAGAATTTTGGGCTGAACCTTCCTCTAATTAGCCTGATATGACTAAGTACTCTGAAATGAGGAGGAGGCAGGATTTATAGTGAAAAGAGTCCTGGATCAATCATCAGGGCCACATTTCCCACCAGTTATCTCATTAGTTGCAGACCTTGGCAAGTCATCTGCTTCTCTACACCTGTGTTTTCTAATTTGTAAGATGAAAAGATAGTGCCTTTTCCATATAAGGGTATTGTGAGGACCAAATGAGATGGAGAGGTAGCAAAATTCTGTACAATTGTAAATTGCTCTTAGCCCATTAAAATTATCCAACAAGTTTCTGGTTCAACATGATGATGTAGGAAGATCCCAAACTCACATCTCCTCTCACAGACATAAGTCTATGGAACAATTTTCTAAAAAAAAAAAAAAAAAAATCCCCTAAAAACTAGCTAAGCAAGTGCTACATAATAGGCAAACAAAAGAAAAAACCTGTATCACAGCAGGTAAGAGAGGCTAAGACACAGTCTCACCATAAACTCCACCCCCAGCACCAAGAACCATCATCAGGAGGGAACTAAAAACCCAGAGCTTCTCCCTGAAGAGCAAAGGGTTTAAGCCCCCCACTTCAGGGATCCCAGCATTTAAGAACTGCATCTGAAAGGTGAGCTCTCAAAAATCGACCTTTGAAAACCAACAAGGCTCACATCAGTACTCACAAGGCTACAAGAAATGTAAAAACAATTCTTAAAAGGCCCCATGCTTGGAATCACCTGCCCCTAGGACCCAGAGCAGAAGCAGCCAATGGACAGGCTATGTGAAAAAAGCTCATCTGATAGTCTTAAAGCATCAGCTTGAGAGGCATCTTATTAATACACATCTATGGGTCTGCTGGAGATACCTTCAGGGATGAAAGCTGGCAGATGCCATTTGCACATTCTCCTTCTGCACCCCAGAACACCATTATCTCTCATAGGGGAGTTTTTACACATATCTAGTAGCCTGGTTTTTGCAGTTGCCACACAGGGAAGACCCCTTGATCGTCAGGCTCTGGAACCCAGGGGGTTTGCATTCCTGTGTATCATATGAGTGTAACAGAGAGAGAGTTCTTGGCAGGCTACCACCCCAGTGCCCTGACAGAAAGCAACATATCCACAGTCTTTACTCACTTGTCCAGGAGCTGTGGCCCATGGACAGACTTCTGGTATGGCATCCGCCTACAGGCCTGTGGAAGTTCTGTCCAGGAACAAAGGCCAGTGGACACCATCTCTGTACTTTCCCTCTACTTCCCTTGCCAGAATCTCTCAGAAAGGAGCTTATACCCTTCTCTGGTACTCCGGTTTTAGCAGATGCTACCTGGGAACATCTCTGTATCACCTGACTCTGGTGGTCAGCAGGGCTTATTTTCATAGATTCCACAGGATTGTAATCAACAGTGACAGAGTTCTTAAATAGCTACTACCCTTAGGACACAGTAAGAGGCAATAGGCCCAAGAGCTCTGTCTTTCTGTGAAAGAGGCCTATTGGCTTATCATCATAGCTATAGCCAGAGGTGCAGGCGTCTAACTGAACACACATCTAAGACCCAACTATAATCCTTTCCAGAGACATTAGAAGGCAGGCGTAATCCTCATACTCTTGACGTATTCCATAGCACCAGTATATTCCAGAACACCAGTATCTCTCAGAAGAGAGCTCTTACACCCAACTGGTGTCCCAGTTTTAGGGGCTGCCATCCAGAGAATGCCCCTTGATCTGGCTCTAGTGACCAAGAGACACTTGCATTCCTGAGTCCCAGATGACTGTAACAATCAGAGTTCTTGGCAAGCCAGCATTCCCCAAGGCACTGCACCAACAACCAACTATGAAGGAAGCCTATTTGCCTGTTGGGAGCTTCTGACTGTGGGGAAGTCATCACGTTTGGCACACATCTAGAGGCTGAAGTAATGGAGACTGGTAGACACCTCTTTGCACTCTCCCTTTGCCCCACTACAACCCCCTGGTATCTCCCAGAAAGGAGCTTATGCACTCAGCTAAAGCCCCAGTTTTTACAACTGCTGCCCAGTGGATAACTCCAGATCAGCTGGCTCTACTGTCAGTGGGGCTTACACATGTAGTCCCATAGGACTGTGGGACCACAGCCAGTAGTTTAGGGTCTGACTGCAAATCAGACTCAATTTCAGTGCTGA